AGAGAAAGGAAAAATTTTAATCGCATCATATGAACCCTTTAATATAGACCTGTGTGAAATGTCCAAATGAGGCACACACTTACCTGTTGAAGTCTGTATAAGAGTGGCAGAGAGAAAGCACATATCACACCTGTTCAAAGGTGAAAGAATTACTGTACATTAATATAATGTATCATCACGACAAAGCAGTAATACTTGATAAGGTATAATCCAATTCACTCAGACTAAATGTTTTCAACTGAATTGTTACTGACATTAGGTCAAAAATAGTGTCAGCTGTGATTTGTCATGAATCTTTACAAATTTCAACAGGATATCCTTACCTGTCATAACCAGCGTGAGACCATTGGCTTGGACCCCCACATAAGTCAACAAATACAGGAACACAACAAGCTACACAAACAAATAAAATACAACCATTCAGATAAAAGCATTATATTTTCATTTTACTTTAGATTTCAATCATATTTACGTTTAGATGCTTTTATCCAAAGAGATTAACAGTGCATTGAAGGTAGCCTATATATTTTCATCGGTATTTGTGTTCACTGGGAATTTAATCTATTGCTAGCACCCTGCTGTACCAGGAACATTATGTTCTTATACTAATAAAGGTCGATTTTTCTTTTCTAAATACAAATTTCTTTACTTTCACTATTGCATATTCTCACAGAACCTTTGCCTTTGGGAATGAAAGCACATGGTAATAGTTCATATCAGGACTAATTATGTAAGTGAGTAGTATCCCCTGATGTAGTGAAAGTAGGCCATAAATTGCAGTAAAAGCATAAAAATTGCTCGGTGTAGCTGAGGTGAGATATTTAAGATGCATGTGAGACCTTCACTGAGTCCATGATGCTATCGATGAAGAACAGCCTCTTCAACTCTGTGACAGCCGTAGCAATCAGCAGAACCATTTGTTCCGCCATGCAGACTGTGCCCTCATCTGTCAGCATACAGTCCTCATCCAAATATGACCTTTTTAATAAAGAAAAGTTGACCAGCTGAGAAAGATTACATGTATTAACCCAGACTTATTTGAGTTGCTTTACCCTCCATCGAGCTCCTGCCAAATCATTCAACATTTGTTTTAAATCTACATATCTGTTATGCATCTCAAGAATTCATATTTTAATATTTAATTTTTAATATTTTAACCCATGATCAACTTGATATAGACTACATCAGAGTGAA